AAAAACAGGTGGTTGCCAGAGGGGAGGTGAGTGGAGGAAGAGAACTAGGTGAGGGAGATTAAGAAGTACAAAGTTTCAGTTACAAAATAAATGTCACAGTTGAGAAATATATAGTATAGGGAATATAGTCAATAATTATGTAGTATCTTTGTATGGTGACAGATGACAACTAGACTTATCAATGTGATCATTTTGAAATGTATAGAAATATCAAATCACTATGTTCTATACTAGAAATTAACATAGTGTTGTAGGTCAATTATACTTCAAAAACAAATAAAACTCATAGAAAAAGAGATCAAATTTGTGGCTACTAGAGGTGGGGGTTAGGGGAAAGAGAAATTGGATGAAGGTAGTCAAAAGGTACAAACTTCCAGTTATAAGAAAAATAAATACTAGGGATGTAATGTACAACATGATAAAGATAATTCACTCTGCTGTATGTTATATATGAAGTTGTTAAGAGTGTAAGTCCGAAGAGTTCTCATCACAAGGAAAAAATTTTTTTTGCTATTTCTTTAATATTGCATCTATATGGGATGATGGATGTTAAGTAAACTTGTTGTGGTAATCATTTCATTATGTATATAAGTCAAATCATTATGTTGTACACCTTAAACTTATACAGTGCTGTATATCAATTATATCTCAGTAGAAAAAAGTTTTAAATAAATCAACTCTAGAAACATAATGCATGCACCAGCTTAAAATGTTAAGAGGAATTTTTTAAGGCTCCAAAATAACAAAAAACAACAAAAACAAAACCTCTAGACAAAAGAGAATTTTAAAACTTAAAATCATTAAGAAATGCACAGAGGAAAAGATCAACATATTTAGTTCATGGACAAAACATTATGTATGTCAATATCCAATATAAATTTAAAAGACAAACAAGAAATTTTAAAAATCTAATCATGAAATGATGGAAACAATGAAAATGGAACAATGATAATTAAAATTAATGTTTTAATATATTTAAAAAACAAATAAAAATTGATAATAAAAATAAATATTAAGCAAAAAGATAAAACATAACATCTGTTATTAACAAAACAATAAATACGTATAGCTAATATAAATATGAAAATATAGCATATTAACAATAAAAATGAAAATTAAATTAATAAAATGCTGTTGTCTTAAGTGACTAATAGAGCTAAGTGTTTAAAATTTAGTTTATTAATACCATTGAGAAAGCAACAAAAATGTTAGTTTTACTCTACTGAGGCTATTATGAAATTGCAGAACAGCATCAGTCACATTTTAAGGGTGTCTTCCCAGGTAGCAATCCATCCCTCATTGTCTACAAATGCCTGAACGCTTCCAGTGCGACCCAATCCATTCACAAATGTGGGCACAGGGAAACACGTTGTGCTTCTGGAATACAACAAAAGCCATGACCAATCAGAATGTTTCTCTCATAAATGTAGACTGAGAAATGGCAAAATAATCTCTTTGGTTAAGAGCTTAAGGTGTGATCTGGAGATCTGTGAGGTGGCCGTAGATCGACTCAACATATGTTGTGTTGTAGAGAGTTAAAAAGTGAGAGACACAGAGTAAGGGAGATAGGAGAGTCAGAGAGACGTGGCAGATGGCTTTCATTTCCTATTCAGTCCCTCCCTATGGCCTGACCTCTGTGAGTTCCAAGAATCCTCTGTATCACCTAATAATAAACAATTATTTTTTGCTCAACTTGTTCCTAGTATTTGAAACCAAATCATAATAGAACAAATTGTTTGAAAAAGAAACTTGGAAGACAAGCCACAAACTGGGAAAAAATATTTGCAAAAAACATATCTGATAATGGATTGTTATCCAAAATATACAAAGAACCCTTAAAATTCAACAATAGGAACAAACAGCAACCCAATTTAAAAATGGACAAATGATCTGAACACTTTACTGAAGAAGATATACAGATGGAAAATAAATATGAAAAGATGCTCAACATCATATGCCATCAGGGAATAGTAAATTAAGAAAACAATGAAATACTACTGCATACCTACTAGAATGATCACAATCCAAAATACTGACAACACTAAATGCTCAGGAGGATGTGGAGCAACATGAACTCTCATTCACTGCTGGTGAGAATACAAAATGGTACAGCCACTTTGGAAGACAGTTTGTCAGTTTCTTACAAAACTAAACATATTCTTACTATACAGTCCAGCAATCTTGCTCCTTGGTATTTATCCTAAAAAGCTGAAAACCTATGTCCACACAAAATCTTGCACACAGGTGTATACCCCAGCCTTATTCAAAATTGCCAAAACTTGGAAGTAACCATATGTCCTTCAGTAGGTGAATGGATGGACTGTGGTACATCCAAACAATGCAATATTATTCAGAGCTAAAAGGAGAGGAGCTACAAAACCCTAAAAAGATCTGGGGGAAACTTACATGCATATTACCAAGTGAAAGAAGCCAATGTGAAAAAGCTATATACTGTATGATTCCAACCACATGGCATTCTGGAAAAGGCAAAACTATGGAGACAGTCAAAAGATCAATGGTGCCAGGGGTTAGGAGGAAGGGGAGAATGAATAGGCAGAGTAAGGAGGATTTTTAGAGCAGTGAAACTATCCTGTATGATGCTACAATAGTTGATACAGGTCATTAAATATTTGTTCAAACTAGTTGAATACACAGGAGTGAACTCTAATGTAAACCGTGGACTTTGGATGATAATGATGTATCATTGCAGTTTCATTAATTGTAACAAATGTATCCCTCTGGTGCAGATGTGAGGTGGGTCGTGCATATGTGGGAGCAGAGTACATATAGGAATTCTTAGTACTTTCTGCTCCGTTTTGCTGTGAACCTAAAACTGCTCTAAAAAAAACAAAGTCCTTCGTTTTTAAAGCAATTTAAGAATGTTTTCAAGAACTTTAAAAATATCATAAGGCAAACTCATAATCCCACTTCTAAGAACCCATCATAAGGAGGGATATTCAAAATAATCCTATAAATAAATTGTAAAAATGCGTTGTGTAAAAAAAACATTTTGGACAAAGAGTCAATTGCACTGTTATTTATAAAAGTGAAAAGCAAAAAGCAATACAAACACCCAACAATAAATGGCTAAATTGTAATAGAGCTATATAGTTCAATACTATGCAAAAGCAAAACTGTGTACAAAAGCTGATTTAAAAATCTGATAAATTAATAATTTACAGTGCTAAGTAAAGATTATAATGGGAATATCTACTTCCTGGCTTTACACAGTTTTAACTGTAACAGTCTGGTTTCCACTTCACAGCATAAATAGTTAAAAAATTTTAAACCATTATTTAGGAAATTATGTCTAAAATTGCAATTTTAGAATTTTAGATGGCAGGTACTGGTGAAGTTCTTTGTTGCTGTTCCAGGCAAGTTTTACAGTGCTCCTCTTTATCATTTGGTTCATATACTTTACTGACATATTCCAATGACTCAAACTATAGCAAAATTATTAGGGGCAATTTTCAAGTACCATTCTCTCTAAATATCATTTAGTTTATTTTTAAAATTATTTGATGCCCTATAAACTTTTAATTTTCTTAGCAAATCTCTTTATAAAAAATTCTCTTTATAAACACATCAAAAAACTACTTTTTTGTATATGTGAAGTCTGAAAATTACAAGAATTCTGCAAAAGTAAAATAAATACGTTTGATTACCTGTAACCTTCTTCTCTCATTAGAGAAGACAAATGGAGCTTCAAAGAGAATTTGGAATGGAAAATATGTCATTTTTACAATAAATATTTTCAGGCAATATCTCATGATTTGGGCAATCTTATAACATCTTGTTCCTACAAAATACTAACTGGTTAATGACAAGCGTTCAAATTTCAAGTCTTTGAAAGTGTATTCTCATCAATATCAACATTAAATTTAGCACAAAGCAACCAATTCCAAGGTAAATATTCCATAATATAAAATTTCAAAAATATCGAATGGAACATAAGTCCTTGCTTATGTCAGTAGTATCTCTGTCTGTCAGGTTACTTCTGGTCCCTATATTATCCCTAGTATACATAATAAAGACAGTATTGCATTCATTCATTTATATGTAGAAATCATGATCACTGTGAAATCATTATACTGATAATTATCTTTGAATCAATTGTTTATAGTATATTATTTTTTTCATAGTCTTACAATGTCAATATATTTTGTGTGGAAAGTTTGCACCCAGTGCAGGTTCTGGAGTGGAATGGCAAAAATCAGAGGCTCTGGCACAATCAAGGTTAGTGAGAATGGTACAGATCTCACAAAGATGTGACATTTGCTGACATAACTGTAGAAAGTGACTAGAATAGTGTTGACATCTAGTAAGAGCTCACTAAGTGTATGTTCTTGTTGAATAAATTGAAACCGAGGGAGAGATACTATCACTACTGTTCATCTTCTCTACAAATTACTACAATTTTATTTAATATTTTATCATTTTCTATTTGTGATATAGTAAAAATTCAATTGTTTTTATAGTTTTTCAGAATTATATTGAGTGTGAATCACTAGTTGGCAATATATTCATTCTCACATTTAGTCTTTTATGCTTCTTTCAATTTAAACTTAAAAATTCTGCTTCTTAAAATTATGTAGCGTGTACTTCTCTTGTTTTGTTATTTTTCAGATTTAATGAGGTTATAAAAAAAAGAAAAAAATCTCATATGTATAAATTTATCATTTTTTTTAGTAGCAAAAACACACCTAGTGTTTTTCAATTCATTGTAGCGTTATTTCTTTGAGGGACACTTTTTTTTTTTTTTTAAGTTCTTGATTCCTTTCTAAAAGGTCTGAATTACTGAAGTTGTCAAATAAAGTTTCAAATTTCTCCTTTGCCTTCAGTCTGTACCCAAGAACCAGGTTCCCCTCTTGGGCATGGATTATGTTTGGGTAAGAAGGAAGACTGTCCAGATTGATGAAGCAATACCCCTGGGAAAAGACGATTAACATGTATAAAGGGATTTCCCTGCAGTATAAATACCAGCACGCGCCCTCCTGGTGCTCAGAGCCTCCCTGATGTATATATGCAGGTAGTGAGATTTGAAACGGCCCTTTGAGATGGTGATATAATAAAACTCTGACTTGAGGAGCAGACTTCTCCTCATTTTTCTACTCTTTTGTGGGAATGAGTTGCCAACCTTTTACTTCGACTGATACCTTTATACCTCTGAATTCTGAGTCTTCTGCCACTCTGCCTCTGATAATGCATCACAGCGCTGCCGAGTGCCTACCAGTCTCCAACCACGCCACCAACGTGATGTCCACAGGTACTGACTCCAATAACCGTCTATGTGTGGCTGGGCCTAACATGTCAGGGTGGACGCTTTGAATCTTGTTAGTTTAGAATCTCATTGCTTCTTTTATTTTCATTGGTGTTAAGTTAAATATTCAGGATATTGAAGAGGTCAAAATGCCTAAGAAAATTTTCAAGAAATATTAGTAAGTGTAGTAATTTCTATTATTGTTGGTTTTATTATACAAGACATCTGTTTTCTATATAAGTAAACAGTGAGTCTGAGATTTACTTGGTTTTTAGATTACATTTACTACCATGTCTAAAAACAGTCTTACACCTCACAGTAAACACAACTGAATGATTCCCAATACCAACAACAATGGGTTTCAAAGAATAAAATAATTAAGTGTTTAAATACTTAATTACTTTAATTACTTAAATACTTTAATTACTTAAATACTTTAATTACTTAAATACTTTAAAGTATTACTTTAAATACTTTAATTTTTAGCATAATTAAAAACTCAGAAATCAAATCTAGAGGCAATATAATATTTAGAGCCCATGGACTGAGTTGACTTTTCTCAAAATTGAGTTCTGAAGAGACTTCAAAGTTTTTATATTTTCTTATATAACTTTCTTAAATGAAAATTAAACTTGAGAATTCAAATATATTGTCTCAAACACAACCAAGCAAATAAGTATATTTTTTTAATGTGTCCATTTGTTATGCAGTAACAAAATGTTTTGAAGTTGATTTATAAACAGTCTTGAGTTGAATAAATGTCTTCTGTTTACCAGCACTTTCCACTTGTTTTAAAAGCAATCTAAATATGAACTAAATTTTATACATTTAAAAATCAAAATTTGAGTTGATACATTTATATGCTGATTTAAAGTATTTTAGCCTTATCTTTTGTTATAATTAAGCAGCTTTCAAACTTATCTGTAAGTTTAGCATTAATCTTCGGCTGAATTTTAAAGTATCTAGAGATCATATATTTAGACTCTGGGAAAATTATTAATGTAGTGATTTTTTATCTACTAAAAATTCTCAGAATTTAATTAAGTGTACTAATGAAGATATCCTCAAACACATTTTTTGGAAAAGGTAATAAAGTATTTTTATCAAAGAGGTGTGGTATAAATAAATTTAAACAATCATCACATAGCTAATTGTATATTTTACATAATAGGCATTTATATAGGTTGGTGATGAGAAGGATAATGCATTGTTTGCTTAATCTACTGTGTGTGGATAGTATTTGGCTAGAATAAAAGTAAAATTTGGAATTGAGGTTAAAATTAAGCAAGTTTAGGTCAAAACCCTATTTATTTATTTAAAAATAAGTAATGTATAGATAAATAATTTATAACTTAGTTATAAATATTATTTATAACTAAGTTATAAATAATTATAAATAATGTATAAATAAATAATTTAAAAATTAATAAATAGTGTATTTAGTAAGTTAGCCTACCCTTTTACACTAGTTTCCCAAATCAGAAAAACAAAAGGCATTTAAACCTTGGAAGTAAAAAAATTCATAATCAGTAAAAGTGACCTAACGTGTTTTAAATAACAATAACATTGATTTTTATAATTTTTCCATCAAATTGTAATCATATACATCTAATTGTCTAAGTAAGGAATTAAAAATAGTGATTATAATGAGAAGAGCACTTAGATACTGAATGCGTTTCATGTTATTTGTTTAATTTTGGAATGCATAGTAATCATTATAAAGTAAAATGACTTCAGTTCTCTCTCTGTGTCAGTTGTAAAATGAAAATTTATGCAGATATTTTAAAATATTAAAAATTGAGTTATAGTTAGAGAAGATATATTTTACTTTCTGAAGAAATTTTGTCTTTAATCGGTAGACCATATATTTTCAAAGGATTCTAAATCTATTCTTTATAATATCTCATATTATTCAAGAAGATACAATTTTATCTATGAAAATCCACCACTACATTCAGGATATCATGAAAAAAAAGAGAAAATGAAATACATAAGAAAACATTGGCTAGTGATTTTATTGTCAGTAGTCCATTGTTATTCATGTTTAAAGCTTGATAAAAGTTTAGTAATTCAAATTTATAAAACTTTCAACATACACATTAATTCAATGAAACCTATAACTATTTATAAATGAGGTTAAGTTTATATGCTAGGTTCAACCTTTATAAACCTCAAGTTACTCAACAATCAACGAACTTATTTTTTGACCAGCTTCATCATTAGAATTGTTGAATTAATTGTGTGCATGAAGAAAACCTACAACCTCATGGTTTCAACACCAGCCTAAATTCATTGTACATTGTCACAGGCTTTTCATAAGCCTCTGAACTTAGTGGGGTTTTTATTATTATATCCAGTAAAAGGCTAGTGGCTCTGCCATTTCCTCTTTGATAGAAAAAATTTGTTAGGTGAATAAGCAGAAGTAAAGACTGATCAGGAGTTGATTTCTGTATTCATGTTCCAGAAAAAGACCAGTATTATACTATGTTATACAAGAACTTTAAGAAACTGTCCTCTCATCAGTTCTTTGCAATGTCTATATTGGGTGGAACCTGTGAGAATTCGGCTACTTCCAATTAGCCAAGTTTCAAACTGGTCAATCACCCCAACACAGAGCACAGGATATAATTAATGAAGGCTCTAGTCCACTTTGATGATTCATGATCTCATTATTTGAGACAAATTTCAGCCCCTAGTTTTAACCTACTCATCAGAGAACCACCCCCAAATGAGAACAAATTATTGGCATATAACTTTAAGAATAGCTTAAACGTGTACTTTTGAAATGAAACGAATGTGTCTTGAATCCTCGTACATTTTCTTACCAGTCCCGTGTATTTTGTCTTTGATCCAAACTCCTAAATGTTTGTGCACATATTTCTTGGTGACAACATTGGGAAACACAGCAACAGGACTTCATTATTCTGTTCCTTCCTGTCATTATGGAAACCAGTCATCGACCTATGGAGTGATGGCAGGTAAGAAAAATTGTCTTTACATATAAGATTGAGTTTGGGGACACTTGGATGGATTTCCTGGGTCTGAGGGACCCAGGGTCTGAGGGAATCTTGACCAGAGTATATCATGAATTTCAGATCTCTTAACCTTGGAAATGCTGGTAAAACCACCACTTATTGAAATGTTCTCTGATCTGTGATGTCTTCAGAGACCATAATAGTTATACCTGATTGCCCCTATTCTACACAGCTCTGAACTGCTCTGCTTCTTAACTCTTGTGTTTGCTTTATATGATTTTTATTTTAATTCTCTACTGCCAAACTGCTCATTGTCACTTGTTTCTGCCATTAGTGGTAGAATAATAATAAGGTAGTAATAATAAGTAGCCGCTAGCCTTATGTGTCTATTTAAATTTAGATGTAAATTAACTAAAATAAGGTCAAATTTAAAATTCAGTTCCTCAGTTGCACTAGCCATATTTCAAGTGCTCAGTAATCTTATGTGGCTACCGAAGCAGATAGACCAACTTATAGAGCATTCTCCTCACCACAATATTTCTTCTGGCCATTTGGTCCATAAAGATAAATAAGACATTGAAGGCTAAGAGTGATTTGCAGCTGCTTTAGCAATAGTTGAGTCTTTGGCAGCCCTGTCTGAGATGCTTCTGAGTCTTAGATGAGATTGAAACAGTTGAAGTTACCTATCTTTCTTCCCTTTGGATAAGTAAAGCATCACTAGATCAAGATAAACTACTTGTTTATTGACACTTGCATGGAAATATTGATAGCACATTTCTTAAGGAAAAGAAAATATGACCTAAGACTCATTAAAAAATTTATGACTTAATTTTAGGATATGGCCATAGAAACAATTTTGCTGGGCACAGAAGTTTTTTTTGGGTATCCCTTAATGTTTTATATTTATTTCTGCAGCAGGGAGAGAAATACTGTGGGTAACAATAAACTACCAAGGATCTGTGGGAGAATGTGAGTGTGTGTGTGTGTGTGTGTGTGTGTGTGTGTGTGTGTGTGTGTGCGTGCGTGCACGCTTGTGTGATATTGAGAAACTCTGGATAGAGAAATCACATATTAGGGAAATCTTTTCTTGCGTTTTGTTATCCAGAGTAGGTAACAAAAAATGAAATATGAATTTATGCTTATACATTTGAAATAAAATTGAACAAAGAATTTAGTTCACCAACCTTTCATTTCTCAGTTTAAGACTCAATAAAACATTAAAACTTTAAAATAGAATATTCCAGAACAAATTAGCTTCTTTTACCTTCTATTAGGCAGCATTCTGAATAAACTAGTATCCTCACCTTTATATAAAATGAAAACTGATGTTTTTTTTTTTTGAAAACTGATGTTCTTAATGTTTACCTGTAAACCCTAATATCTCTGATAAGTAAGAAATAAAGAAAGCCATATTTTTTCTTCCTCTTTGAAAACAGATCATTTATGATTCTTATACATAGTAGTTAATCAGTATTCATGGTTAATGAGAACAGCTCTCGATGATGAACTACTTTCATTATAAAACAGAGTAATGTGCATTTAGCCACTAGAGGTGCAGGCAGAATGCCTTCTGTGGCCTCCACCACATTTTGATTATGGAGACTGGAAATGACAAGCTCATGGCCACGTGCTGCCCTTTCTTGGAGGAAAAAGGCCTTGCTCTTCCTTCACAGTAAGTTCCAGGAGCCCCGGTACAACTATAGGCTTCCTCTATATCCAGCAAGTGGCAGGAATGGATTGAGGTTGGCACAAAGATAAAACCAGCCACAGACCAAATACTTTTAGGCGGTTTTTGCTACCACCTCCCTAGGCCAGTGTCTGTGGAGTTCACAGCTGGCCTGAGAAATCTAACACCCTTCCAATTTCCAGGATTGGAGAGAACAGGCCCAGATTCACACTGAGAGTCCACAGGCAGCTCAGATTGTGCTGGTACAAGTTTCCCTGGCAGGCTCAGCAAACTCTCTTCCTCATTAAAAGTTAAAAAGGAGAGGCCCCTGGAAAAGCCCTTTAAAATGATTCAAAGCCTGGGATGGTGACAATCACGAGAAAAATTGCCCTAAGATTTGGAGGTATTGTTGTAGTCTTAAACCAAAATTAAATATATTTTATCACTGAAAGAAATATTCACCATAGCAAGCATAGAGATTATATTTGAATATTTTTGAGAGGGATATCATTAAAATATGGTGTGCTTTATAATTTGTTACAATGTCACTATTTTGTCATATATTTGGTAATTAGCCTTTGCATCATGGCCGATTAAATCTCAGAGAATCTGAACCTTTCTGCCGTCATCCCCAGAGAAGCTACACAAATTGAATTGTAAAACACAAGAATTCAGAAGTATTCAGGAATTCAGAAAAGGTATAAAAAACACAAGAGAAACCTGGCAATGTCATTTGAATTTTCTGAGAAGTCTCAAGGCGTTCATCAAATCAGCTGCTTCCACATAATCCACAGAAGCATTTAATCATCAACAACAAAGACAGATTCATTGTCACATACTCCATATAAAAGTGAAGCTGCAGAAGGAACAATATTTCAAAGGGTGTGAAATTGCTTTATTTGAATATGGCTATTCTGTCACTATACTCTGATGCTTACATTTAGTTTGAGCATTTCATTAAATTAATAACCCATCGGAAGACAAGAGCTATAGCTAATATTTTGTTAAGGTTGGTAGGGAGGACTCTAATCATCAGATGAATCCACTGTGCTTCATAGACCAGGTGTGGGCATACCAAGGAGAATGATTGGATGAAATGAATTAGCCACACCAGGAACTAATTACAAACCTTGTTCAAGTCAGCATCTCCAAGTGTCAGTCTCTTCATATCCAAGTTGCATTGGGTACCACAGGTCTATCAGAGTTGAGTTGTGGCAACTTTGTACCAACTCAACCTGGCTTTCTCCTTGATCTTCTCTTCAGATACATTCTCAGTTACATTTCTTCTTCTGTCTCTTTTCTCCTGAGAACTTAGATAATTCAACAGCCTACAGTATAGATAATAGGAAACAGGGAATTATAAATGCTATTCAAAAATCTCTTCTGGAAAAAAACAAAACAAAACAAAATAACAACAAAAACCCTTCAAAACTCTGATTCCTGGGTATCTGACATTGTGTCTCTTCTCCAGTTTCTAAAGCTGGGTCCAAGTTAGAAAACAAGCTTAATGAGCTGCGTACTTTGTCCACCGTCCTGTGGAAACTGGGCAAATCAGCTACATGGTAATGATTGCTAAATCCAGCAAGGTTATGACATAATGGCCACCCAAGATGTGCTGTAAGAGTCCTTGCTTAAAAATTAATTTTATCAGGAAAGCAAAATAGCTGATATTGGAGAATTAATCAAGAAGATGGATGTTCTTTTCTTATGAGAAGTGGATAATAGAGAAAAGATTAGTATGGCTGCAAGTGCCCTTTCCACCTGGGCTAAGGCAAAGGGTAACAGAAATCTGTTTGACAGTGACATAGAGAAATAGTCTACTTTGGAGCCCATCTCTTCATTCTTAAGTTGTCTTTTTTTTTTTTTCTGTTTCATTTTTTTTCTTTTACTTAGTCTTACTTTTCCCTATCTTATTCTGGTTGTGTTGACAATAAGGGAAGGAGTAATTCTGACCATCTTTTGCCTCTGGATCATGACAGGACTTTCAGTAGCACTGACTCTGTGTATTTTCCCTAAATTTTGTAGCCTCTGTCTCAACTACACAACTCGGTGATTGTAAAGCAGCCACAGGCAATATTTAAACAAACAGGCATGGCTATGCTCCAAATCAACCTAATTTATAAAACCAGGAAAAGGACCCTGTTGTACATGAATAGGATGTACAAATGCACAAAAGAGAAAAAAAATCACAATTCAAATTTATGATTTGTTTCACGTTGTCATGCATGAGGACAAAAAAAAAAAAAAGAAATGGAGATATTCAAATGCACTTTGCTGTGCATGTCTACAGCAAGGTGGGAGTATTTTACTGTGTCCCTCTGCTTCCCCTGTTTGTTCTTTTAAAGCTTCATAACCTCAGAGATGTTGTGAGTTAGCATCTGGCTGAGCCACATGATGCAGAAGAGCCCCCTGCCCTGTATCACAGAACCTTGAGCCAGGTCCCCGCATGGCAAGACCATGGCCTCCCCATCACCTGCTTTAAAAGACTCACCTCTGTTCCTCTCCCTCCTCCGCCACCCAGAAGTACATGCAGAGCAGTTCAGAAAGGCTGTGGTGGATTAATCTGCAGTGTGAAAATACATCTTGGGCTGTAAAGAATGTACAAACACTTCCAAGCTATTTAGGTGTGCACTTGTTCTAGGCTTGTAGACAGTTTTGCTTTAGCAATGTTTTGGAAATTGTTCGTGCAACCTCTGCGGCACACGACTCACTGCATCTCATTCTCCTCCTCCCCAACCTGACTTTTCAATAATCCAGGCTTTAGAAAACATTTTAAAATATCTTGTCATGTACACCGTACCGATCACTCCCCATTTTCCGCCAAATATAGGATCATATGATAGAAACCACAGGTTGTTTGGCTGTGCTTGTGACTGTCATGAATTTCTGTTTAAGGTTAGTTCCAGGAAAACCGTGTCCTTGCAGATAATTGTGGATAATTTCAATTAGCGGAGAATAAAAACATGTCACACATTGTGCTTTCCTTTTTCCTCTGGATGCCAGACTTTTGAACATGGTATTTCCTGTGTACTTTTTATGGACTCATGTTCAAATTTATTTGCTAAATGTGCGTTTCTCCAGAGCATTTATAATGTATAAACTAGCTTTAAAATTTTCCAGAAATACAGATGGCACACTTCCAATATTTTATTAAATAAATATAATACTTTTGTCTGAAAGCGTTTGTTTAATGTAGCCAAATAGGTTTCAGATGCAGAAATCCTTGAAGTCATTTGATTTCCCTGAGTAGAGACTACCTGAAAAATGGACTGATCATTTTGATGTGGTTTACTGAAATGTTCATTGGACTTCACTTCTAGTTTCAACTGTATAGTGAATTCATCATAGTACCCAAGGAGAGTTATTTAACTTGTTTTTATTCAAATTTTAAATTGTGGGTAAAAAATACATATCTTTTCTACTTCATTTGTTTATATAAGGATAAGAAGATGACAAATGTAAAATGAACACAGCACGGAGATTTGTAGCAGTGCATTTATACTAAGTTACTCTTCTATTTCAGAAGACTGAATGTCAGGTAACCTTCCAGAATTGAGACTGGCTGTCACAGAATAATCTTATGGGCCAAACCCTTGCATGTATAGAAATGGGGGATAATTACAAACGGTCCTTTCCTTTTCTTGCTGTTACAGGGAGCTTAGCCCCTTGTCTTTATAAGTTTCCCGACCACACCTTGAGTCATGGCTTTCCTCCCATGCACCAGCCTCTCCTGGCAGAGGACCTCACAGCCGCTGATTTCAAGCAGGAGCTCAGGCGGAAAAGCAAGTTGGCTGAAGAGCCAATAGACATGGATTCTCCAGAAATCCGAGAACTTGAAAAGTTTGCCAATGAATTTAAAGTGAGAAGAATTAAGCTAGGTATGTGCTTGTTATGAGCAGTGGGGCACGCAACCTGCTCTGCAAATTCTTACTCTGTTACTGTTCAGTCTCTTACACTCTGCTCAAAAGTCCAAGACAGTTCTCATTCTACATCTCTACTGTGGATGTAAGTTACTCGAATGATGACAAACCTACAAAAACCTTCATTTCCCTGTAAATTCTTAGTAGCCAAAATACATAGATTTCTAAATTAATGGTACTCTTTTTCAGAGATAAGTTTTGAAGTGCCTTTTTTACCTATATTTTATTTGAAGAGATACCTTCGTATGATTCAAAGACTAAAAAGGTATAAGTGAAATATATCCCTTCTGCTTGTTTTCCCTGTTTATCAGTGTTGTGTGGTCTTCCAGAGATATTTTATGCATATACATACAAGCAGATACATATATTTCTTCATACAGATTTTTTTTCATTTTAACTATTTGTTTTGGAGAGCTTTCAATATTAGTTTTTTAGAGAGCTTTCTGTAATGCATCTGCCAATTTCCACTTTATGAATATACTACCAGTCTCCTGCTGATGGAATTTATATGGCCTTTAATCTTATGCTACTGAAAACAATACCACAATAATTAACTTCATAAACGTCATTTTGCACCTATATAAATACGTGTGAAGGGGAAGTGTTAAAAGCAAAGTTGCCTGATCAAAGAGTATGTGTGTTTGGAATCTCGATAGATGTCAAATTGGTCTCTGTGGAAGTTGTACCAAATTTTACTACCACCATGGGCGTCTCTTTTGCCACCCTTCAGAATATGAGCTCCATGAAGGCAGGAGATTTTTGTACTTTGTTTTTTGTTTATTTATTTCTTTTTTGTTTTCTCCTTAGGGGCATATCCTCAGCACTTAGAACAGTGATTGGCACATAGAATAAAATGCTATTAAATCTTTTGGATCTTTGCAAATCAGATAGGTCAAAGTGGTGCCTCATGGTAGTTTCATTTTAAATTTCTCTTATTATGAGTGAAGAGTGAAAGATGTTCTTTCATGTGTTTGACAGTTATTTGTAATTCCTTTTCTGTGAACTGTCTGTTCTCAGCCTTTGCTCACTTTCTATTGAAAAGTGTTTTCAATGTAAATAGCCATAATAATTAACCTTGATTTTAATGCATGAAATGTATTTTTTAATGGATTGAAATGATGGTGCAAACTTTTGCATTTGTGAATTGAGCCACTGGTAATTTTTAATGATATTTATTGATGGGCATCATATGTAATCATTTTATGCATACAGGTATATAGCCTTAGGCCCTGAATTAATATATAGTAACTATTTGTCATAAACACAGCAATAGGCATCTTTATAACATTCATTTTCAATTTGCTATTTATATTGCTGTGAATGTTTCAAATTCTATATTGATGGCTTATACCAACTTGTATTCTAAAAATGTTTGAGACAATCTATGAGAACTTTTTGCCTGGAGATAGAAGCAATACCGAATGATATTATAAATATGCTTGGAGGTATACATAAAACATTGTGTGATCAAAGTCTCATAATAAGCACGTTTTTAGGGAAAGTAAACACAATTCTTAGTTTTATCTTCAACATGTTGAATTTTTCACTCTTAAAATTGAGATAAAAATATTTATGATATATCACCATGTATTTTATGCATTATATTTAATATACTATATATTTTGAGTATATATCATCAGATGTTTAATAAAAATGATTAAGAGAGAATTTTTAAATGTCTTCTAAAGTGTTTATGACACATCTAACCAATCTGGCTAAATATTATGAATGGCAGATGTTCCTACCTGAATTCTTTTGACTTCTAAAAAAGTAATTTGTTAACTAGAAGGAGTTTTTTTTTGAAATACTGAACAATTCTACACTGAACCATACTGTTATTCTAAGTTGCCAACAAATATATGGTTAAAAGTGGTAATTAATAGTTGACAAAGATACACAAAATTGTACAATAATGGACCAAAATGAATGTTTCTTGAAAAACTGAAGTTAATGGCCTTTGTTGTTTTTTCACAGGATACACCCAAACAAATGTTGGGGAAGCCCTGGCAGCTGTGCATGGCTCTGAATTCAGTCAAACGACTATCTGCCGATTTGAAAACCTGCAGCTCAGCTTCAAAAATGCATGCAAACTAAAAGCAATATTATCCAAATGGCTGGAGGAAGCCGAGCAAGTAGGAGGTACTAAAGTTGTTTCTGGAGACTCGGTGATGTTCTAACCTGAACACAGTGCCTTCCCTTGGTTGGATTAATGCTAAAGTGAGAGGTTTGAAGTTTGGTTTGGGTCTGCTTTTTCTCTTTGACGTGAAAAATAAATATCTTGTTTCATCACACTAAAAAAAAGCAAGGCCAGTGCGAGTGTAGAAATAAGTTTACTGAGAATGTAAATTGTGAGGGAATAAACGGTATAAGGAAAACTTCTAGACAATATGGCATAGGTGTGAAGTGGTAAAATGATTCTTTTTAACATATCCAGATTGTTTTGCCTCTGGGCTATATACGGTAGTAATTATACATGAATCATTTTCATAACCTAATATAAGTGTAGCCAGAGCATTTGCACACACAAGCAATTGCTAGATGAGCAATTTATTGTGATAAAATTATCTACTTATATTAATGTCAAGGCTGGATAAAGAGCAAGGTTTGAGAGCATTCAGAGCAAGTGTTCCAACTAAAAGTAGAGATATGATTTAAAAGACAATTGTTTTTGCTAAGTTAATATTTATTTCTGTGTTAACATTTTAATCTAGGGCTTGTAATCTAAAATTATGTAGACCGCAAAACTTTAAAACAAAAATGTGTGGTAATTTTATTTTGCATTGTTTTATAAAGAAAATTTTGAATCCAAATCTGATAGTTAAAATAAAAAGACTTACTTTGTTTTTGTAATTATTTATCTTTTCCCCATCCCAGCTTTATACAATGAGAAAGTGGGTGCAAATGAAAGAAAAAGGAAACGGAGAACAACTATCAGGTATACTTTTGAGATATTAAGAGTTACTGGAGAAGAAAAAGATATTTTACAAATGGAATGAGCATTTAAGCATAATATAGGTTCAATATAACATAAAAATGAATAGAGTCAATTGAGAAAATAAGATAGGTGAAAAAGAATAACATTTAATAAATTACTGGTGAGATATAGCTGGAAATTTAAAATTTGATGGAAAAATATGTATTGTTTGATTCAAGAACAGTTTTACTCTGCAAGTTTTGGATAAAACAGAAACTGGGCAATCACTTCTAAATAGAGTGACCATTTCTATTGTCCTTTTTATTGTTTTTTTTTTTTTTTTTTTTTGTGGTACGCGGGCCTCTCACTGCTGTGGCCTCTCCCATTACGGAGCACAGGCTCTGGACGCGCAGGCTCAGCGGCCATGGCTCACGGGCCCAGCCGCTCCGCGGCATGTGGGATCTTCCCGGACCGGGGCACGAACCCGTGTCCCCTGCATCGGCAGGCGGACTCTCAACCACTGCGCCACCAGGGAAGCCCTCTATTGTCCTTTTAGACATAATTCTTGCTCTGGCAGTATGGTATCTATGTTATTACAAATAACAAAACTAGTCATCAGTATTTTGGCTGCTTAAAGTTCAAGGTAACTCCTTGCATTTCAAGCCAGAAAGATTGTTCATTGATCTTTTTGTAATTTCCATGAGACTCACAGAGGAATTGCTACAATACAGTTTTTGTTTTAGTGGGTTAGTTGTACACAAAACATTTCATTTATTGTAAAGAAATGATTTCTGGGGGACATTTAGAAATGCCTATAGAATTATTTCCTTCTCAGTGAGTCAGTGCCCTCTTGTGGCACAAAGTGGGATAAACACAATGTCTGGGTTCCCCTACTTATTTCTTCCTGTGACTCTGGTATAGGTAGCCTACGTAAGACTAGCAAGCATCCAGATGTTCAACAAACTGCACATTTATCTTTGTTGAAGAGCTTTGAAGGTGTTTTCGGAGTCTTTAAATTTCCTTTTTATGTTAATATTTAGGAAATTCAGCCTAACAGTTTTGATCTGCCAAAAACATCCCTAAAAATATCCTATCTCCCTTCTCTCCTGTCAACTCCCCACCTCCCAGTATTGCTGCTAAAGACGCTCTGGAGAGACATTTTGGAGAACAGAATAAACCTTCCTCTCAAGAGATCTTGCGGATGGCTGAAGAACTGAACCTGGAGAAAGAAGTAGTGAGGGTTTGGTTTTGCAACCGAAGGCAGAGAGAAAAACGGGTGAAAACAAGTCTGAATCAGAGTTTATTTACTATTTCTAAGGAGCATCTTGAATGCAGATAAGATTTCCTATTGTGTAATAGCCAGTTTTTCTATTTTTCATTCCTTTCTCTTCTCTAGCCAAAATAGAAATTCCTTTTCTGGTTAGCTTCAAAAAAATCATATCAGTAACTTTTGCAGAAGCTTTTCTTTTCTACTTTAAAAATAAATACAATTTAAATTATATTGATGAATTATTCTCGGAAGCCACGTTGTACTTTTAAAGCCAGAGACTAATAGGAATAAAACAGTGATTCTCTCTCTCAATATATCTCTCCCTCTCTCTTTACACACACACACACACACACACACACACACACACACACACACACACACACACAGGGGAGTGGTCTTTTAGTTTAAAGTTTCCTTTTCCAAAGGCTGTGTATTTGCTTTTTAATATTTTAGTCAGTAATGTCACATAAAGAATATCACCAGAGAAGATCCAATTAGAAAATTCCTTAACTGATGTCTTGCTTACCATCAGCTCTAACAGTTTGTTTGAACTAAACTTTTTATTTTCTTTTTATAAATTTATGTTATTATTTATTTATTTTTGGCTGCATTGGGTCTTTGTTGCTGTGTGCGGGCTTTCTCCAGTTATGGTGAGTGGGGGCTACTCTTGTTGTGATGCACGGACTTCTCGTTGCAGTGGTTTCACTTGTTGCAGAGCACGGGCTGTAGGTGCACAGGCTTCAGTAGTTGTGGCATGTGGGCCCAGTAGTTGTGGCTCGCGGACTCTAGAGTGCCGGCTCAGTAGTCGTGGCGCACGGGTTTAGTTGCTCCGCAGCATGTGGGATCTTCCCGGACCAGGGCTCGAACCCGTGTCCCCTGTGTTGGCAGGTGGATGAACCACTGCGCCACTAGGAAAGTCCTGAACTAAAAGTTTTGCACTTAAGAACCACAGGGGCCTTTGAATTTTATTATTGCATTTAGGAATAAATCTTAGAAGTGACACCTTTGAAGTTAACATTTAGGGCATAGAGCCCAAAGAAGTGTTTCAAAAGAAATTTGTAGAAATATAATGTTCTTTTTATTCTTCCCAGACGTTAGCTTTTTTGATGTTTAGCTTTAGAAAACATGCTTTATTGATTCTTGAGCCCCACACTGCTATTTCTGTAAGCTGTAAAAGTGCAAGGAAGATGTCTGGCTTGTTTGCTGTTGTTTCTCCAGTGTCTGGGAAAGCCTGTGCTCACAATGAGCATGCAGTCTTTGTTAAATGAACAAAGGGGTGTGCTCTTAACAATGGCTACAAACTTGAAGGGAGTCTAATTTAATAACATAACTTATTTTTGAAATCTCACAACCTAGAAAATCATCTGGGGTCCTATCAGAAAAGATGATCATTTTTTATGTAATTGGTTAGAATATGATTTATTATTAATAAAGAAGTTTACTATATTGAGCTTTTCAATTCAGAGAGTTGTACCTTGAGGGACATATTTATTTAATTTATAAGAATGTGCATTGTACAGCACAGGGAATATAGCTACTATTTTATAATAATTTTAAATGGAGTATAATCTATAAAAATATTGAATCGCTATGTTGTACACCTGAAATCAACATAATATTGTAAATCAACTATACTTCAAGTTAAAAATAGAATGCACTTCTTTAAAACTTGTAGGCAGAAGTAGACTGCAATGTGATAGCACTATCAAATAATGACTTTGTTTTGCATTTTGAATGTCAATCTGCTGGCAATGTTTATCTAACTTATTTTATGTAACAAAAATGGGAACGATTAGACTAAATTTTTTTATTTAGAATGCTTACTAAATAAACTATACTGTCCTGTCTCTTGCTTTTTATAATATTAATAAAGACCAAGCATTATGCAGGTCATAATCTATGTAGATTATGTTTGTCTGTGCACACATAATCAGCATTAACTGGATGGCTAGAAACTTTGATATATCATGAACAACAAAAAAAATTAATTTTCATGGGATTGACATATATACAGATATGTATAGATAACTAATGAGAACCTGCTGTATAGCACAGGGAACTCTACTTCATGTCGCTGTATGGTAGACACTAACACAACACTGTAAAACAACTATACCCCAATAATTAAAAAAAAGTAGTTTTCAGTGGCCTGATCATCCATGCTTAAGCACACATCTAGCACCCAGGAGGTGTTAAATAATATATACAACTGTATAATATATTTAATATATAATAATAATATAATATATATATATATATAATATTATATATATTATATATATATAAAATATTATATATATATATATATAAAGGTTTTTCTTATTTGAGAGTAAATTCCAAATTATTCAGCTATGTGGATTTACAAGTACTTTCTCTTGATAATTCACCTGCTTAAAGCATACATTAGCTGGGGGAGTGAATCTTTAGTTTGCAAAAGGCAGGGCAAAATGTACATACATATATACACACCTAAAAATACATATATGCATGCCTTTGAAACTTTCAAATAGAAGCAAATGTAATGCAATATAAATCTAGAATAGTTTTTGCACTTAAAATCCAGACACTTTGCACTTAAAATATGAAACTGCTGGGAATGTTTTATCTGACATTATATAGCAAAAACAAGCATGTATACATGCTTAGTCATCATTACAGATGTATGTTTAGATCATATTATCATTCATTTTAAAGGTCATTCTTTACAACTTTAGATACAATTAGCATTGGAAACCAATTTTTCTCCCTAAAAATATTTTGAATCAATACTTAATATTGAAACAGCAATTCCTTAGTTATTTAGCTATTCATTGGTTGTAAATGCACCGGTATTTGCTATTAACTCATTTGTATAAATGAATTTTGAGACTATATTTTCTAACTATATTGATAGAATTTTAACAGATACTGGCCTTTTTAAAAAATAGAAAATGGTTAATGTTATTTAGAATCCTAAACTGCAATTAAACAAATGACAAATGTGATTTGCTGTGCAGTATCTACGTGTTCATACATTTGGGAATAAACATCAAAAGCTGACTTTAGCCACACAGGCTTTTCATCTCATGTTTTTGTGAGCTCTTCTGTGGTAAATCTTCAGGAATTCAGTAGAGTTCCACTAAAATGGAAAGATCTGTTTGTCACTTACCTATTGGTATACTCAATTTTACCCTGTAGGGGTGGTTGAGAAACTCATTCATGTAATTTACCTTTCCATATCTAATGGTGAAGTATTTAATTGTTAAAGGAAACATTTTCAGTGTTTGGGGACAGAGGGGTGTGTGTGTGTGTGTGTGTGTGTGTGTGTGTGTGTGTGTGTGTGTGTGTGTGTGTGTGCGCGCGCGCGCGCGCGTGCGCGTGCGCGTCTGTATGTGCGTGTGCACGTGTGTGCGCGTGTAGTGCGTTTTCAGGCTCTTAGGAGGATGGCTTGTCGGGGAGGAGGAAGTGTGTGCTGTTCCAGTAGCAGGGTACCTCAAATCAGACTTCAGGATCCTCAGGCTTCAATCCAATTGACTCTTGAAGGAACTAAGTTACAGGAATGGTCTTAAAAACCTTTATGGGACTCAGCTTCTACAGAAAGGAAATTGGAAGTTGATCTATTTTTTTGTAGCTGCAAAACCCTATTCATTTAGAGTAATGGCATCAAAGGAGAAAGTCATCACAGGTCTCTTTTCAGATCTGCACATACACTATTTTAACATGGGAGCGTCTGAAATAGGGGTACATGTTTAAGTTGGGCCCACTGGGATCAGGCTAGAAGTGTCCTACTGGGCTAGTAAGGAATGCACATGTGGCCAAGGGGCAAGGGCAGGCTTCTCCTAAAGGCATTCATTACAAAGAATAAAATACACATCACTGTGCAGGTCAAATAACATAAAGCTCACAGGCTACTAGATTCCCCATTCTGGTCTACAAGGTCACTTATCTTTTTAAAATTTTTTTAAAATTTATTTTATTGAAGTATAGTTGATTTTCAATATTGTGTTAATTTCCTGAGCCCATTTCCACTATCCCTGCCATGACCAGGCGCTCCTCTCAGAGCACAGAGTACAGTCTGTGCAACACAGTCATCTGACAGATGGTCATTTTATGTTTTCTAAGATGCGTATTGACATTTTTGTACCACATTCTACTTCTTTGAGACTCGGCAATCTCCTCCATCCATGACTTTTACATCCAGTAATAGAATATGACATTGGGCTGCATCCCTTTCAGTAACAGAGAAATTGCTATACTCCTCTGCTCTCTTTCTAGTGGCAAACTTTTGTTTGACTACAGCTGTTAAAGAAATCCTTTTGCCAAAAGTAGGAAATGAGGGAAATCAAGCTAAAAAAAAAAAATCAGTATTTTCATTAAACTCAGTGTGTAAGAATCCTTGTTTCCTAATCTTAAGGGTCTAAAAGGAAATTTTATTTTTAGCAAAGGATAGTGTAACATTACAAATTTATAGTGACTGTTCGTGAAAACTGCCACTAGAGCATTTTATAAATGTAGCCAAATCAGAATGACTCTACTTTTTCCTTTGGATCCCAAAGTCTTCTGTGGCATCCATTTTTGACTGAAATTTAAAAAATAAGCTCTAAGACCTATCTGTTTAAAAATGGTTATCCTCTGGAAGTTCTAGGAAAGAAACTGTCATAAATTTCATGTAAAACCACCAATTCTTAGACTTACTCCATTCACAAACATCAGTCTTGTATCAGCTGCTAATTCTTAAAAAGATAATTATTGCTAAAATGTAAGTAACAGAGTTATCTAATTTTCCCTTCCAAGAAAGTAATAAAAATCAGTCTTTTGAAAAATTACCAGGTATGCATAAAACTTTTAACTTTAGCAGAAACCAAAAATAGAGTTAAAGAGATAAGGGGAAAAAAAGCGTAACAGCAATAAACCTTTATTGGGATTGTTTTTTAACAAAATAATTTTAAAAACAAAACCCCCCACATGTAAACAAGAAAGTAAACAAGAAAGTTAGTTAGCATTATTATGTACATCCAAGAATCAAAACAAGTTCTGGGTTAACATTCCATAATCCAGTAAAATGTTTTGACCCATCAATGTTCTGGGTAACTGCATTTAATATTATCAATAACGGAATCTTAGCTTTGAACATTATAAAATGGTTTATGGATTATAAACTGTAAAGTTTAGGTTTTTGTTTTTCCCACCAATCCATATGCCACATGTCTACTAGTCCTAAAATGTATTGATGTTGTCCATATTAGTCCAAAATATCCAATATCCGAAATTAACCAGGTTACAGCTACCTGATCTCCTCCAGAAGAGTTTTTATGGTGGGATGTGCTAGAA